AATCACATTGTCACTATCATTTAATTTGAAGAGGTAAAAACATATTTTATTCTATTAACTTTATGGGCAACAGTGTAATTTAAACATTTTCATATGGTGTCGGGTTTCAATTTAAGGTTGTAGCTATGGCTCAAAAATAAATCACGTTTTTAGGTTCATTGGCACTGGTGGCCAAATAGTCCCCTTGCAGGTCACATCTCTGTGTCAGGAAATGGACCACTGTTATAACACATGAAGCTGGAACTGGAGCAAAATGAGGAACAGAAATGGCTCAGGCTTTAACATGTGTCATCAAAAAGAGCTTCATCTGATTTGTCCCCCTGAAAATCTCTAATTACTAAGCCAAGCAATTTTTAAAATAACTTATTGTAGTTATATTGTATGAAATGACAAAAAAACATGACATATCCCACTTATCTTACACTGCAGCAGGTGAAATCAGTTCATGTTTGATATCAAATGACTAACATTGAATTTTAAACTACTGATGTGTCACTGTAATTATGCATCACAGTTGTTTGAACAACACATTTCTAACTTCAAAAATGAATGCTGAATTAATAGTTAAAATGGCTGCATGGCACATTTCACTGTTTGCAGGTAGGAGAGGAAATGCAGCCACCTACTGAGAGTCTGTACACCTAGGATGCAGGAGGTTTTCCTGCCTGTTTTCCCCATCACTCCTGTTATTTCCTCTTAATCAGGTCATCCTGTCTCTCCCCAGCTGGATGTGGCCTCTCACACTCACTTCCTCCTTCACATGCACCAGCCACCATATAAGGACCCTTCCTGTGCTGAGAACCATTTTCACGTCCTAGTATCAGTCGGTGCTGATCAGCAGAAAGGAGCTGTTCCTGCACTTTCATTCATCTAAGAACATCTACTCTGATCTCAGAGTCATCATTGCTTTTTTTCTTCTTTGCTCTTCCAATAGCAATTTTTTTCTTCAGTCATGACAGTTGGCCTATGCCATCTTGTGATGTGACACATTTCAGTAAAGGGGAAGGTTTTGAAGACATTCAAACAACAGGATCACTGCTTTAAGCGCAAAAATTCTACGATTCACTCAGCTGTAAACACCGGGTCAGCAATAAGGTCATCTAATTTCAGTAGCACTGTTAAAACACACCAAACGCTAAAAAGCCTTCAGACTGGATTACTGGTAACCAATTCTTCTTCAAAGAACAAACTTTCACCGTATAGAAGTACATTTCATGCACTGAGTAGTGCATGACAACACAGAGGCAAAGACAGTAGAGCTCATCAAAAAAGGCATTGGCAAAAAGACTCAAAGGACTTTTTTTTTTTTTTGGCTTTGGTCTTCAGGTTTTTCAGATGTCAAATTGGTGCATGCAGACCAAAAGTGGCTGGCAACGGATTCATTGTTGCACTGCTAGTTACAGCTATAAAATGATCAGTGGGTACAAAAGGTGAATGTTTCCAAACAGAACATTAGGGCTCACTGAATGGGTTAATGGATGGAAAAAAGATGTGAAATGACGCTACGTACACCTGCGGGAGAGTTTGGAGTGTCATGTTACACAGCGGTGTCCACCAACATCATCAAAATACCACTTCAGAAAACATCTTTTTGAAGAATGGTGATCGTCTCTGTGGTGGACCAGCAACCTGCCCAGGGTGTACCCTGTACACACTGTACCCTGCCTTCACCCTGTGTAGGCTGGGATAGGCTCCAGGCTATTGTGTGGTTTGTCTGCGTATTCTTAAATAGATCACAATTTGTCTGCAGTGCACTTGTTCTAAATATAAAACAGAAGTTTACATCCACTAGTAAAGACCATGCAAATCATGGTAGTGTTGAGTTTTTAGTGACTACTCCAACTCTTAATTTTCTATGATGCAGCTTTGTCACAAAAAATAATCATTTTGGTTCTTACATCAATTTCTTACAGTTCTTTTGGAAATACGACTAAATCTGCTGGGCCAAAAACATACATACAGCAATGTATTTGTTTGAACGTCCTCTGATCATTTGTACCTCAACTAGGTGCTTTTGGCAGCCGTCCACAAGCCTCTGATTGCATCTTTGACCTCTCTCCTCTTGACAGAATTGGTATACTGTTAAAGCTGTTGGCTTTCTGACACAGAGTTGTTTCTTCATCACAGTCTACAGGTTCTTGATGGGTTTAACTTAGAACTTTGGGGAGACAAGACTAAACCTTAATTCTACCCCAATTTAGTAATTTCTTTACTACTTCTGATGTGTTTGGGGTCATTGTCTTGTTGGAACGCACAACTGCCTCAAAGACACAACCTTCTGGTTGATGATTTTAGGTTTTCCTGGAGAATGTGGAGGTAATCCTTTTTTGTCTTTATTTCATTTATTTTGTGTAAAGCACAGGTCTACTGGCAGCCCAACAGTGTAATACTATTACCACCATGCTTGATGGTAGGTTTGGTATTCTTGGGGTTAAAGGCTTCACCATCGAGCTTTAAGGTTCTGCTTCCAGAGGAAGAACTTCCTTCTCAGCCTCTCAGCCCATGGTGCTTTAAAACACTGTGGACACTGACAGCTGTGTTCCTGCAACTTCTGGTTCATTGCAGAGCTGCTTTTTGCTGATTCTTGGTTGAGTCTTGACCATCCTGACCAATCGTCTCTCAGCAGCAGGTGATAGTTTGTATTTTCTTCCTGATCGTGGCAGACATGCAACTGTACCATGAACTTTATATTTATAAACAACTGTTTGCACAGATGATTATGGGATCTGAAGCTGCTTTGAAATGGTTTGAAGTGACTCTCCTGACTTGCTCAAGTCAACAATTTGCTTCTTCAGATCTTTGCTGACTTCCTCAGACTTCCCCACTGCAGTGTTTGTGGCTGAGTCTAATGAGTGGATCAGGTGGGTTCTATTTAAATTGGCTCAGAGAAGTCAGCAGCTGTAGGCAATTGTAATCACTCACGAAAAGTTAAGAGGCCATGCCACTATGTAAATTTGTCTACCATAGCTTTGTACATCACCAAAATTGATAATCCAAGTTGATGCGCGTTTTTTTTTTGGGCCCATCAGATCTCTTCATATTTCCAGAAGATCTGTAATAAATCTTGTGTATACCATATAGTGTATTGTGTGACTTCCTGTTGCGCACACACTGTGCTGTGGTTTACAGATTTATTTTAGCTCAACTAGTAACACTAAATATCTCTGTGCCATCTGCTAATATTAAAACTAACACTTACCTAGAACTGCTATTTCAGGTCTGCACACGTGTCTGCTAACATTCTTTTGTCCAAGCGCCTCACTAGCAAGTAATCAGTCATTGCGCTTTACTCAAAATTGCATTTATTCACCTGATTAATTCATCAATCAATCAGTCTTTCAGTTAGCAATGACGAATCTACATTCAATGTTTTTTAACAAGCTTTTTCTGTCACTATCTGAAAAGCCTCTGTACCAAAAATATCTGATCGGTTGGCTGTTGTCTGAGCAAAGACGTGACCACAAACTCACAACCTACTTTGCTGCTCTGATGTGTTCTAATTGGGTCAAAAGCAAAAGGTAAAAGCTGTCTCTCAACCTTCTAAACTGCACAGAAAAGAAAAAGAAACTTGAATAACGGAAACAAGAAAGACAGAAAGGTGAGGAAAAAACTGCAAAGACATGACAATCTGAAGCAAGAAAAAGCAACGCATTGGTCTGCTGGAGCTCAGTGTGTGTGTGTGTGTGTGTGTGTGGGGCTTACATTGCAAGTCAAAAGGCGAGTGCAGACTTTCTTCCTGTCGGGGTCAAGGACGCCACAGTGTTTGTCCAAGTCACACTCCCGCTCTGAGGACACATAGAAACCATCTCAGCTACAACGTCACAGTCAATGAACAATTTCAAACATGTCAATATCTTTATATCCCACACAATGCGCCAATATTGTCAACAAAAAGCTATCCTGTGAAAAACATCATTAATTTACAATAGCCAATTTTCTACCTGGCATTTTCTAATCTCTCTGTTTTTAACCACTTGACACAGAGGCAATTTCATCCATGCTTCCCAGTAATCCATCTCTCATGTCTGACAGAACAGAAATGCTCCTGTTTCAGTTGTGCTTTACCGAGATAACCACTTAGCATCGAATGAGACTGAAGTTAATTTCTTTTAGTTTTAAGCACATAAATGCATTTATTGTTTATTGGGCTGCAAGTACCACTAAAACTAAAAATCCTATGTGGGCCCTGGGAGAACACTGACACTGAGCTACTAATGTGCTTTCCCTCTGCAGACACAGTACAAGAGTGGGTAAATTAGCACCGCCCCGAGTAATCCCTGTGTCCAGGGTGTAAACTGTTGCACACGTAATTCTACAATCTTATGACATGAGATTGTCTTACTACTTCCTCTTAAAAATTTTCTGCTTGGATCTAAAAAAAAAAAAAAAAAGGATATTTTTCAGACAAACATGATCAGTAGAACTGGCCACATGATATGTGCCCACTACTCTACCTATTATTCTTTTTATTTACCCAACACTATCCATTTGTACTCACTGGAGGCCACTTTGTTGTAGGGCCTGGGGACCCGGTGGCCTGGCGCTGCAGAGGGTTGAGAGGAGTCCTTTCTCTGTGTAGGGTGTCTGTCACTGGGTGAAGGCCGACCAGGCGGAGTGCCTCCATGTGGCCAGGGAGGGTCTCTGAGTGACGGAGGTGGAGAGCTCATCGAAGGCTCCAGAGGTGGCGGCTGCTTGAATACTGATGACTCTGTATGGCTGCTGTGGGAGGACTTCTCTAGTGGGGAATGTCTGGGTGATGGGAGACAAGCACAGAGTTAACTTTGGAGGATGCGGGATAAACTAAAACATAACTACTGCATTAAACGAAATGTTTAAAATTTTAATGCTAGCAGTGAAATCATGTCCTTCTCTCCTTGCGTGCCATCCTTTAATTACAAGCTGAAATGACAAGCAGTAAAATTGCCGCCCAAATGGTGCCGCTTGACACAAGACCTCCGACACTCGATTTATGAAATACCAAAAAAAACATTACATACAATGAACTCGCCAAGAGTTTTATAACTAAAATACAAAACTGGCAAAGTAAGACATTTTCATGGCCGGTGCAGTAACTTTCCTCTCAAGTAACTCCATAGCCAAGAAGTAGCCCAGCACATAATACCCTGTAGAAGAGTAAAGTAGAATTTTTTACACCTAATATTTTGAAAAAAAAATTCAACTCTGAGATATTAAATGTAAATCAATGAGCTTTGGAGGCGCAGTAGCTTGCCTTTGTTGCTACTGGACTGGGTAAAGCGAGCCACTTTCCCATTTCCAATCTTTATGCGAAGCCGTCTGTCGATTTATCAGACATGAAAATGGCATCAATAATGTCGTCTGGCTCCTGGCAAAGTCTACAGGTGCATTTCCCCAAACTTAAACAAGTGTGACTTTGATTCAAACAAGCTCAGACCTTTATTGTTAACACTGGGGATGGTATCGTTGTCAGCGTACTATTCTTACTGACACTGCTGATCAATCTGGTACTTTACTTTAACAATACTCTTATTGGTACTTTTTGATTGGTTTTTGTTTGTTTGTTTGTTTTGGTTTTTAAGAGAGAAAAAATAAATTAAAAACAGAATTCCGATTGCTTTATTTCCTCATACATACTGTATTAAAACTAGCACCTGGGAATCATCAGAGTGCTGTGGACAGTGTCACAGCTTCACTCACAAAATATAACAAAATGCAATGCGTTTCATTCAATTGTCCTGTATTATATCAATATTAAAAGCTCCACCTTGAACAGACATTCAGCAAATGTCAGCGCATTGTGCCAATAATACCTCTCACTCTTCACTTTTGAGTGCAAAATTAGTTAAAGGACCTTGACAGTATTTTTATTGTGTGATTTTAATCGTTTTAGTGAAGATACAGCTGAAGTACTTCTACCACTAACATCACCATTCAGTTAGATCAACAGTGAACATAAAGTAAGACAGAGTTTGTCACTAAATCCTGCTGCTCTGTGCTCTGAAAGTGAAACTGAGATAAGAGTGACAGTTGAGGTGAGGCTCTGAATTTCACACTGAATTTAGGAACGCAGCCACAATTAAACAAACAACTGAAGAATTCTTACTTTCAATCATTAGTCAATGTTTGTATAAATTAGTGATCTCCGAGTTCGGGCTTCCAGCAAACACAACACACCTGGTTAGCCAGGGATGGGCTACGAGCTCAGCAGTCAAACTAAGCATTTCTCCGTCTGTATGTGATGAACTTTTGCTGAATATTTTGACAGATTGTGCACATTTCTGCTCTTACATGCAAACGATTTGTTACATATGTGGCAAAGAACATGTTCTGCATCAACTCTAGAGAAGTGTAATCATACTTCAGAACTTTGTCATCCTTGTGACCTGCACTGAACTGCAGGTGGGTGACAGAGAGCTGCTCCACTTGTCACACACTGTCTGTCGGAGCTACAGAGGCTCCGTTATGGATTTGGAAAGTGAAAATATATCAAAGACATATTTTCCAGTGGTGACACAGAATGTACAACACAACGTTCTTACTTTCTAAAGCACCAATGGCAGAACTATTAACATCGGAGCTTATCGATCCCCTGGTATTTAAAAACTCGGTACCCATCCCTATGCAACATGTTATTTAATGATCGCCGGGCTCAGGTTTGAACTTGCCCGCTTTATTCTTACCGTACTCCATCCTTGGAGTTCTTGGAGTGTCTGTGCTGGGGGGGAGTGGAAGGTGAAGGTGGGGCTGCCCGTAGCTGCCCAAGGCCCTGGCCTCGACCCTCCCATGATGAAGCAGAGGCAGTGTTGGTCCCATGAGAAGGAGAGTGGCCATGATGCGGTCTCTGCTGGGGCTGAGGTGCAGGAGTGGGGGAGCGCAGTCGGGCGTACAGCTTGGCCAGAGGGCCATGTCTCCGCTCGCAGTGCTTTTCAAATGCCTGCGGCTTCACTACTTGACCACAATGGCTGCACACCACCAGGTAAAAGTCATCATGGCCTGGGTAAAGGCCAAAGATGGACATGTCTGAAAGGAGAGTGGAGGGGAGCAGTCGTAAGAGAGAGAACACAAGGACTACAAAGCTGTAAAAGAGGAAACATTGCAATGTCACTTTGGGACAAGGGTTAATGCTGCAACATGGAAATATGCTAGATTGTCTCACTAAAAAGAGTCCTGGTGAAAAATACAGCTAAACACCATTTAGAAACTTACAGTGCTGCAATATTCAGGATTCTGACAGATGTGTGTATGCGTGGGTCAGTCTATGATAGATGTATATTAATGTTGCAAAGTACGGATTTATCCAAAACAAATCCTTACGTAGATGTTAACTAAATAAGAAATGAGAACAGGAAGAAAGAACACAAAACTTGTGTGAAAATGTGTGGACGTCTGCTCAGCCTTCTTAATCATATCCTTTTTTGGCTGTTACTCCCATGTGATGCAGATGCAGAATGGCAGAGTGTGAGAAGATGAACACACTTCCGCAGACATACTATCAAGGTGCTCCTTGTGAGTTATCATGTCATGCTGTGACACACACACACAAACACACACACACAGGGGGAGCGTCTGTTGGACAGCTGCTGCTGCAGACAGTCAGGCGAGGTGCCAGAAGGTGCCTAAGCACAATACTATCCAGCATTAATACTCGCCCAGGTCTCTGCAAACCAGGAGCTTCATTTAGTCACTGCCTCTGGCCAAAGCAGGAGACGAACAAAAAGCTGAGGTACAGAACCACAATACAAGAACACACAGCGTATAAGGTCATCAGTCATGCCTTCTTGTTTTCAGACATCCAAAACAACAACAGCCTTGACTACGTCTTGTAGATGTTGGTGTGCAGACTTACCCTCTTTACTGAGTGACATGGCCTCTGCAGCCTTTTTGCCATTCTTACTGCAGTCATCCACATCGGGCCCTGAAACATCCCATATCACACACATGTTCAACAAAACCCTTGGGAGGTAGGGTGTTTTCTAAATGATGTACGTCAGGTTCATCAGCAAGACAAAGAATAACTTCTCTTCACAAATTCTGTATATTAACAGGCCCTTAAGCTGTGTTATATAAAGGACTGATTTGCAGGTCAACTGCTTCTCCACGGATGGCTGCTGGTTATTTTTTTCTTATCATCTTTGGTTTGCCAACCAATACGAGGAACACTGTGTGGCTGAGGAGGACTTTATTTGATAGTTCTGGGCAGAGTAGCACTTGGAGGGATGCCAGACAATGAGTGAGCTTACATACTTAAAGCAGGGAAGGGCAAGAGCACTTTTTAGGCAGAAGTCACACATTTTAGGATTCCTGTCGGATACAGAAATGTTACCATCAGTAAAACGCACTGACAGTCAAGTGGGAAATTCAAGATGAAGCGAAAAGAACACAGAGTAACGTTTGCTCATATCAAAGGCTGGGCCAGCATTTACATGGTGGCAACAGCATCAGACTCCTCCTCCGTCACCGGTGTCTACTCTCAATCCTCCTGCTGCTGCTGCTGCTGCTTGCGTTAGCATGCTAACGCTAACTGCCTCGTCGTCCACGGCTGCCTGCTAGCTAGCCTGCCTGCTAGCCTAGCTTTCCACGGCAAGAAGTTGCTTACCCAGCCATCCACACTAGCCTCCTTCCGCTCTGATGCCACCGCTGCCCGGCTGGTTTCACTACAATCATACGCATCGCTTCAGCGCTGGCAGCCTATTTCGCGGCCCCAGTGATCAAACACAGGCTATAATGGTTAGGTCTTGCAACTATCACTCATTTTTTCTTGAAGGCAGCGTCTGCAGTGGGACCTGGAAGAGAGCAACATGTTACCCACCCAGCGCTAGGACCCGGCAGGGTCTTTGTTTGGGTAACATGGTTAGCTCAGTCCTCCGTTTCCACGAAAATAAACCCCGGTGCTTTGGCTAAATGGCTTCGCAGCTGCCAGTGTTTGCGTCAAGGTGCTTCCTTACCATCCGCCGCTGTCACGCCGGCCCAGTCGGCCCAGGCAGTCCAGCTTTGACCCACGAAATCATCGAGGCTAGGCACCCGCCGATCCAGAGCAGCCATTACTTTTACTGCGCGTTCACGCACCGCCATCATCACTGCGCGGCAAGCAACTTACGTCATACCTCGCGTTCTCGACAGGATAGGAACTTCCTGCGTGCGCGTTCTGGAGACACCCACACAGAGAGGCAGGGACTGGACCAGACAGGGTGATGACACGGTGCAACAGGCAGAAGGCTACCTCCTGATTCCCAACTCAAAGATGTGAAGTGACAGGGATCATACAAGCCAATTTCATCGTTTGTTTTTATACACAAACAACAAAGACACACTTCTAAGCTAAATAAAAAGCAAAAACAGCACTTCTTTTAATAAACAAACGTGTACAAATGAAAAAGCACATCAATACATAGCCCATGCGTTGAGGCAAGCTCATGTTTGTAACACCTTCAAAATGAGATTATTCAAAAAACTTTACATTGGGTAAAGAAATCAAAAACACAATAACATAGGTGCAGCATTTACAACGAACAAACAGAAGTAAAACAGAGAGGAACTCAGGCACAAATAAGGTCTAGGTCCACTTCAGTTAACAGAGCTTACCATCACTTACAACAAATACAAAAAAAATTAAGCCAATGAACCTCTACAGCATCCCACAGCAAAAAATTGAACAGACTTGCCTCCAACTGAATCCCTGCACCTTCTACCCTGCAGTGCACATGTATGTTTCCAGTAGCACTGTGCACTCCACAAACTACATGTTGTGACTTTGTTAAATGCCCAGAGACACTGAAATCAGTCAGGAATCCAACCTGGCTTCAAGATTACAATATGTCAGGTAGGGTTTTTTTGTACTTAGATTAAAGCTTTATTCAGGAATTCCCACCACGTAAACTAAGGTTACACATGTGGACAAAATTGTTGGTACCCCACGGTTAATGAAAAAAACCCACAATGGTCACAGAAATAACTTGAATCTGACAAAAGTAAAAATAAATACAAATTATATGAAAATTAAGCAATGTAAATCAGACATTGCTTTTGAACCGTGGTTTAACAGAATAATTTAAAAAAAATAACAGAACAGAATCACAAAACAGGCCTGGACAAAAATGATGGTACCTTTAACTTAATATTTTGTTGCACAACCTTTTGAGGCGATCACTGCAATCAAACCATTTCTGTAACTGTCAGTGAGACTTGTGCACCTCTCAGCAGGTATGGTGGTCCACTCCTCATGAGCAGACTGCTCCAGTTGTCTCAGGTTTGAAGGGTGTCTTCTCCAGACAGCATGTTTCAGCTCCTTCCACAGATGTTCAATAGGATTTAGATCAGGGCTCATAGAAGGCCACTTCACAATAGTCCAGTGTTTTCCTCTGAGCCATTCTTGGGTGTTTTTAGTTTTGTGTTTTGGGTCATTATCCTGTTGCAAGACCCATAACCTGTGACTGAGACCAAGCTTTCTGACACTGGGCAGCACATTTCTCTCTAGAACACCTTGATAGTCTTGAGATTTCATTGTACTCTGCACAGATTCAGACACCCTGAGCCAGATGCAGCAAAGCAGCCCCAGAACATAACAGAGCCTCGTCCATGTTTCACAGTAGGGACAGTGTTCTTTTCTTGATATGCTTCATGTTTGCGTCTGTGAACATAGAGCTGATGTGCCAAAAAGTTCCAGTTTTGTCTCATCTGTCCATAGGACATTCTCCCAGAAGCTTTGTGGCTTGTCAACATGCAGTTTGGCAAATTCCAGTCTGGCTTTTTTAGGATTTGTTTTCAACAATAGTGTCCTCCTTGGTCGTCTCCCATGAAGTCCACTTTGGCTCAAACAATGACGGATGGTGGGATCTGACACTGATGTACGTTGACCTTGGAGTTCACCTTTAATGTCTTTAGAGGTGGTTCTGGGCTCTTTTGTTACCATTCGTATTTTCTGTCTCTTCAATTTGTCATAAATTTTCCTCCTGCAGCCACGTCCAGGGAGGTTGGCTCCAGTCCCATGGATCTTACATTTCTGAATATGCGCAACTGTAGTCACAGGAACATCAAGCTGCTTGGAGATGGTCTTACAGCCTTTACCTTTAACATGCTTGTCTATCATCTTCTTTCTAACCTCCTGAGACAACTCTCTCCTTCACTTCCTCTGGTCCATGTTTCGTGTGGTACACACCATGTCACCAAACAACACAGTGACTACTTGTAACCCTATAAATAGGCCGACTGACTGATTACAAGTTTGTAGACACCTGTGATGCTAATTAGAGGACACACCTTGATTGAACTTGTCCCTGTGGTCACATTATTTTCAGCCTTTTGTAGGTGTACCATCATTTTTGTCCAGGTCTGTTTCATGAGTTTATTTTTTAAAATAATTCTGTTAAACCACGGTTCAAAAGCAGTGTCTGATTTTCATTGCTTAATTTTCATTGAATTTTTATTTCTAATTACTTTTGTCAGATTCAAGTTATTTCTGTGACCATTGTGGTTTTTTTTCATTAACCGAGGGGTACCAACAATTTTGTCCACATGTGTATGTGTGTATATGCATGCATCAATTGTACAGTATACAACAGAAGTGAGTACACCCCTGTGTATTGTCACTTTATTGTTAAATAATTCAAAAATTCTATCACCTCTCCACAATCAAAAACAAATACATTAGAAAGACTGTATTAATAATACATGCCCCAAAGTACAACCTCAATGCAACACAAGTGAATACACCTGTGATCGCTGACACACAAGTTACAAAACCTGAGATCATTGAAACAAAATTCAGTACACCTGTGATTTCTGATTAGCCTATGCATGGACATAATTATAAAATGATCTGTGAAGTGAACACCAGAATTTTCTCCATTTTGGACCGCTGGACTATGCCTGCATGTCTGCGTCATGGCAGAGCATCTTTTACACATAATTTCACATTTAAATGATATTGCACACTCACTTTTGATGTATAATATACATGATAATTATCACATATCTAATTATTAGTCAGATACACATGAACATGGTTATCCTTAAACAGAGCACAAGCTAGGAAGTTGCCTTGCTCTTTTCTTGTTGGCAATGCAACCTTTGTACATAATGCTGAACCTGCAAGAGAGGTGTGTCTCTACATTTAAAAAAGCTGGAAGTTTCGTTTGCTCAGTCTTTAAGGCTGCTTTGTTTGAGTTGTCTTACTGCACTGTATTTAAATGATGTGTTTTAATATTTTGCTAAATTTCTCTCTGGTAAAGGCAATGTATTTAACAGCAGAAGTATTCAATTTAATTTTCAATTCAATTTTATTTAAATAACGCAGTTCACAACATATGCCATCTCACAGCGCTTAACATAATGAGGTGAAGAGCTTACAAATTCAAACAGACAAACCAGCAATCCACAGTATGTCTCTTTACTATATACAAAGTAAAGTAGTCCAATACAACGCTGCCAGCAACTACAGTCTCAGCCATAACCATAAGGACTGCATATATAAAACTTCTGTGAGTACACATTCCTTGTACCTGCCAACATTAACCAACACAAATTGCACAGCATAAGCACAGCTGCTTCCTCCTGAAGCCCTGGCAATTCATCTGACTTAAAAAAAAATTAAGTTCAGCCTTTTTTTAATCACTTCCAGACAGATGTATGGCAGTGAAAAAACTGCACCACAGTGCAGCAAAGGGCAAACTACAAGGCATGTAATAGTCAGCAAAGTTACAACGGAACACTTGGTAATTTCAAAGCAATTAAAGGTCTCTCTAACATTGGGTAATGTTAATGTTTACGAATACACCATTAGGAGAACACTGAACAACAACTGTGTGCATGACAGGGCTCAAAGGGCTCTCCAAAAATAACACCAGTGCTCATCTGTAATTTCCTGAAGATCATGTGGAGAAACCAAAAGACTTTTGGGAAATGTTTTGTGAATGGATGAGACCAAAATCACACTTTTTGATTTAAAGAGAAGTGTTATATTTGGAGAAAGGAGAACACTGTATTGAAACACTGGAACCTTTTCAGATCTATAAAACACGTCGGAGCTAGTAGCATGGTTTGGACCTGTGTTTACTGCTTCTAGACCTGGACAGCATGCTGTCATTGATGGAATAATAAATTCAAAATGACATCAGCAAATTCGAAAAGAAAATGTCAGGACAGTCGTCTGTGAACTAAATCTCAGAAGATTGTGGGTCATGCAGCAACAATGACCCTAAGCACACCCGTTGTTCTGCCAAAGAATGGTGTATACTGGTGGGTAAAGTTGATGTTTTGGAATGTCCACATTAAATTCCTGGTCTTTATCTAATAGAAATGTTGCAGAAGGACCTGAAGCGAGCAGTTCATGACAAAAAAACCCACCAACATCCTAGAGTTCAAGCTGTTCTGTATGAAGGAATGGGCTGAAATTCCTCCACGCTGATGTGCAGGGCTGATTAACAGTTAACACAAATGTTTAGTTGCAGTTATTACTGCACAAGATGGATCCCACCAGATACTGAAAACAAACTTTCACCTACTTTTGCCACTTCCAGATATGTAAGATTGGGTCATTTTTCTCAACAAAAAGCCAAAGATAAAATTTTCTCACATTTGTTTGTTTGAGGGCTGCAAGGTGGCTCGGTGGTTAGCACCATCGCCTCACAGCTAGAAGATCCCCGGTTCACATCCCGGTTAGGATGCCTCGGATCTATCTGTGTGGAGTTTGCATGTTCTCTCCGTGCAGCGTGGGTTCTCTCCGGGTTCTCCGGCTTCCTCCCACACAGTCCTAAAAACATGCTGAGGTTAATTGGTGATTCTAAATTGTCTGTAGGTGTGAATGTAAGTGTGCTTGGTTGTATGTCTCTAAGTGTAGCCCTGTGACAGACTGGCGACCTGTCCAGGATGTCTCCTGCCTTCACCCTGAGTTGGCTGGGATAGACTTCAGCCCCCCACGACCCTAGTGAAGATAAAGTGGTGTAGAGATGATGGACAGATGGATGGATGGATTGCTTGTTTGAGTTCTTTTTATCCATGTTAAAGGCTTGTATGGAAACCTGATGCTCATAATTTTTGCAGAAATACTGAAAATTCTAAAGGGTTTGCAAACTTTCAAG